CTTCCCATCCCTTCCCTCCCTCCTTCCATTCTTCCCTCCCCTCTTTCTTTCCATCACTCCCTCCTATCTCCTTCCTCCCCATCCCTTCCTTCTCCTTCCCATACCTTCTCCTTCCCCCACTTTTCCCATCCTTCCTTCCTTCCTCCCTCCCTCCCTCCTTTCCATTCCTTCCCTTCCTTCTTCCCTCGCTCTTCTCTTCCCATCCTTCCTTCTTCCCTCCTACTTCCCACTTCTTCTTCCCTCCCTCCCTCAAGGAGAGAGGTAGTTGGCTTAAGAACAATTAAATTACTGATACGGGTGTTTTTGTTGGTTGCATCCATCACAGGCGCGACGGCTGGATGAAGACTTTGGCATCCCTCGCTGAGAACCCCCAGCGTCTTTGATCCTGGACTTTCTGCTTTCCACCATGTTCCACTTAATCAAGAAGGACCGAGACGGGTCCAGGAGGGAGAAGAAGAAGGAGAAGGAGAAGAAGGAACGCATGTCGGCCGCCGAGCTGAAGAGCCTGGAGGAGATGAGTCTCCGCCGGGGCTTCTTCAACCTCAACCGGTCGTCCAAGAAGGACGCCAAGAGCCGCCTAGAGATCTCCAACCCCATCCCCATCAAAGTGGCCAGCGGCTCGGATCTCCACCTCACCGACATCGACTCCGACAGCAACCGGGGCAGCGTGATCTTGGACTCCGGGCACCTCAGCACGGCCAGCTCCAGCGATGACCTCAAAGTGGACGACGGCAACTTCAAAGGCTCGGTGCTCCAGCGGGCCGCCAAGTTCGGCTCGTTGGCCAAGCAGAATTCGCAGATGATCGTCAAGAGATTCTCCTTCTCCCAGAAGAGCCGCGACGACAGCGCCTCGGAGACCTCCACGCCCTCCGAGCATTCGGCGGCACCTTCCCCGCAGGTGGAGACGCGGACCCTGGAGATGCAGTTGTCGAAACACGGTGCCGGGACGCCGCCCTGCGCCCCGCCGCCCTCCGCCTCGCGCACCCGGCTGCCCGAATTGGTGAGCAAGAGGTTCCCTGCGGAGCTGAAGCTCCCCGTGGTGGTGCCTCCGCAGCCCCCGGTGCCCCGCCAGCTGGAGCTGCAACGGCGCAACACGGGAGACTTCGGCTTCTCTTTGCGTCGTACCACCATGTTGGACAAGGCGGCCGACGGGCAGGTATATCGGCGAGTGGTCCATTTTGCCGAGCCGGGGGCCGGAACTAAAGATCTGGCCTTGGGCTTGGTACCGGGTGACCGGCTGGTAGAGATCAACGGCCGCAACGTGGAAAATATATCCCGGGACGAGATTGTGGAGATGATCCGGCAGTCGGGCGAGACGGTGCGGCTGAAAGTGCAGCCGATTTTGGAGCTGAGCGAGCTGAGCCGCTGCTGGTTGAAGAACGGCGAGCGATCCCAAGGAGCAGCGTTTGACGTGAGTAGCTGGCTTGCACCGGGCAGGGCGGGGGTGGGGGTGGGGGCTGTCCGGAGGGGGTTCTCCTTCATCCCTGTGGCTGGTGTGTTTTGGTTGAGTCTTGACTCCTGGGCTGCCTTGGTGGGACTTCATAATGCCCATTCTATGGTGTTGTGTGGCCGATCGCGCTCAGTCCTCGATGCCTACGGTTGTGTTACGAGAAATTTGCCGCAGAGAACCGCTTTCTTCTTGTTTTGCAAATGATACGGGGCTCTTTAACAAGTGTGGCTGTTGTCCAAATGTGTGCAAAAAAGCTCGGGAAAATGTAATTTTGCATTTCGGCGGGTTTCACGATGCCAGAGGGGTTTTTTTTTGGGTGGGGGGTGAATGAGTTTTCGAAGATCGGGGATTGCATTTCCCGAAAAGATTCCTTTGTAAGACCAGGGCAGGGGTGAAATCAACTTGCCTTCGATACCAGTTCGCTAATTTGAGCATGCGGACCTTCCGCGCCTGTGCGGAGCATGAAAAACGGGGCGTGATGACGTCCGGGCGGGTGAGCGTGGGCTCCTGCCGCCACTGCTACCGGTTTGCCTGAACCGGATAGAACCGGCTGAATTGCACCACTGCCCCAGGGATGCCCAACCTTGGTAAGTTTTAATACTTGCGGGCTTCAGCTGTGCCGGCTGGGGGATTCTGGGAATTGAAGTCCACAGCTCTTAAAGTTGCCAAGGTTGGACCAAGAGGAACTGAC